TGGTTGAAATCGTTCTAGTCGACTGACGTGTGCTTCGTACTTAGGAGATAAGCGCCCTAAAGAGCGAGCGACGTTTGGGTACATATAACGTTTTAACCACACGCATCCATACTACAAAGAAACAAGCAAACACCCTCGATTGACCTACCTTTACGACTTTATGTTTTAAAATTTTCGCATATGTGTTAGTAGGTCGGTAGGGATACGCCCCTAAGGGTAGTGTCAACCCTTTACGGAAGGTAAGTTGTGCCCCGCGGTAACCTATCCTGTCGTAGTGAAACACAAAAGTTACATCTAGCGCAACCCCGTCCGTTTCGACGGTTCACGGGATTACTTCCAGGTTGGCCCCAAGTTATCTCCATAATCTTTTTTACTCCTGTGCGACATGGACCGGATTACTATCTCTTTTTGCGATGAAAGACAAGATTTGATGCACTCGACAATGTTATTAATTATTTTAAATCATGACTCTGAAACCTGTTAGATTGACTATAAACAAAAAAAAATACAAAAACTATATAAAATATATATCGACATAATCATTAACATGAACTAGTAACATTTCGCTCGAGCGAAATACCATTTTTTACATGCAAGCAATATTTTGAAAAACGAATTAACATGTACAACAAATAAAGAGCGAGGTGACACAAAGAGCTAACCTCGAAACTGTAAGCAAATATAAAATGAATAAAAAAGGAGGTAAAACAATTTATGAAACATCTAATGGGTAACTTTGAAAATCTCAATTTTGTTCTTGCCCGTTTGTCATAGTATTAAAGTAGAAAAAAAAAAAATAATACACTTGGATAAGAGGTTTTGTTAGTTTTCTCACCATATATTGTTGGTGCCAAGGTCACCAGCCCGTACGTACGGAGGTCCCTGGGCAGACCTCCGTACGTACGAGCGTTCGGGGTCGCGTATGGGGTCCGAACCCGACGACGTTCGGCGCCGGCCAAAAATTATTTCCGGGCCTAAAAATAATTATTTTTTTTTGAATTGTTTTTTATGAGTTCTCTATGACATGAGGTACATGCCTGTAAATTTTCAAGTCATTTGGCTAAGCCAAATAAGAACTAAAAATCGCCAAAGATGGCCATGTCAAAACGTTCTCGCCCACGTATTCTTTCACTTTTTACTTTTTGTTTTCACTTTAGTTCGGGGTCTAAACAATTTTATTATTTTTTTAGAACTTTTTTAGTGGGTTTTGTATTATGTGAAGTACACATCTGTAAATTTTCAGGGCATTTAGCTATGCCCCAAAAAAAAGAAAAATCGCCAAAGACGGCGGTGTCGAAAACATGCTCGCGCACTCACTAAATTTAATTCCTTTTTTATTTTTATTTAATTCGGATGCAATGCTCAGGCAAATATTGTTTAATTTATTTTTCTCCATAACATATCTTTTTTTCAGATTTTTTT